TTTTTGGCAAGGCCCTCTTGCCAGTCTCCTGCGACTTATTACAACAGAGCATCCTAGGTTGGTTACTGACTGAATAACCATGAAGTCAAACGTAACCGATCACTTCCCTCCATTGTTGCAAAAGGTCGTTAAGACACCAAGTTTCCCATAACCATAGTTTCCCTTTCCCACTGTTGGTAGATTTAATAACTTTCCGCCACCAGTCTGCCTGGATGGCTCTTCTCAGGTCTTGCCGAATACTGTTTTTGGCCTGTGAGATGGACCACTGTTCATTGTGAAATACTTTGTCGTTACGGCCCTGCCAAATGACCGAGAAAAGTACACCTCTTGCTGTTTGTGCAATGTAACCCCAACCCTTGCTCAGGGCCATGTTCTCTGGGATACCACCAAGCAACGTCCACAACTTAGTCTAGTCTAGCTATTGTCGTGGTAATAATTTCGACCATATCTCCATCCACCATTTCACAAATTTCAGCCGAAAGCGGACAGTCCCACCATAAGACTTATGGTATCGTTGATTCAAAGACCCAATCACATCTTTGGTATTTCAGATCCACTTCCAGTCTTCTTTCTGCCAACCATACACTGTCAGCTGAAGGAGTAGCAGCCATTGAAAGAAGCCATAGGATTGCTGCCTGTCGTGGGCAGGGGATGATCTTTAGCTGTTCCCAACAACTGATCAGGGCTTTGTTAATGTAGCTTGAATCAATGTCTAGTATAGACTGCCAGCGAGTACGCGCTACTGTTAGCGGGTCTTTTGTATGGCTCGAATTCGAGTCTCTGAATTGGTTTCGGCCGAAGGAGAAAGCTCGTGTATGTTGGTTTCTGCCAGCGAGTACGCGCTACTGTTAACGTCTTATCCCACAGTGTGAAACGAGGCTCCCAGAAAAAAAAAGAATCGATTATGTTGGTTGCTTTTCGATTTTACTGGCACGTTTATTCCCAACGAGAGCTCAGCGAATCTCACCTCTGAATATGGCCAGATACGGAAAAAGGAATTTGAGATTGGCTACAAGCACACGAGAGGTCAGTGAATCTCACCTCTGAATATGGCCAGATACAGAAAAAGGAATTCGAGATTGGCTACAAGCACACGAGAGGTCAATGAATCTCACCTCTGAATATGGCCAGATACGGAAAAGTGAATTCGAGATTGGCTACAAGCACACGAGAGGTCAGTGAATCTCAACTCTGAATATGGCCAGATACGGAAAAGTGAATTCGAGATTGGCTACAAGCAGATGGGTCAAGACCCATACTCACCGAACCGATCAGATCCGATCATCGTCATCGTCCCTGAACTTTCTCACATACCTCTTCCATATCCTCCAAAACGTTGTGCGTTGGTTGAAGGACGTGAAGCCTCCGAACAGATCACCCACGGTCGTGAACTCGAGTAATTGGACCCCATCGAAATTTTGGAAGCAGGATGCCAGCTGTCGATCGTTCATTCCTCGGCTAATCCATAGCTGTTTTGTCGTTTCTCGCATTTCCACCACCGATCCTACCGGTAGTCCTGCCATGAGTCCTTCAATGCACATCAATGATGACTGATTACTTCTACCTGCCCACTTATTGTCCTTAACGAGACGACGATTAACCATAATTTTTTTCTCCTTCTCCTTCTCCTTCTCCTTCTCCTTCTGCTCCTGTGTCACCTCCTCCTCCTCCTCCTCCTCCTCCTCCTCCTCCTCGCTTTGCCAGTTGGATTTCCCCGTCATCTCCTCCAGAAACTCACCAACTCCTCCTCCGCCTTCCCCTCCTCCTCCTCCTCCTCCTCCTCCTCCTAGAACGAGAACGTCTAAACGTGAGTTCCATATCTGCTCTCCTCCGATCCAGCGATGACTTAAGAAATTACGTCCACGAATTATGTCCGTTGATTCTCCGCCATCGCGATCCAGATCGCAGATCTTGATGACGTTATCGGTCCATCCCTGCCGTCGAACTCCCGGCAGCTTGCCCGCAGATTCCATGAAGGGCATGAAGGGAGGCCAATCTCCGACCAGCGTGGGCATGATGAGAACACGATCGAGAGCCAAGGCGATCGCCAGAGCGTCACGAAAACATGCCAATTGCAATTTCCTGAGCAACAGGTTGACTGTTCGATTGCTGGCGGCGGCATCTAGTACGGCATCGGAGAGTGCCTTTGACGGCAGGCTGTAATGAAGGAAGCCCTTCTTCTTCGGCGCAAAAAGATAAGATGGAGAATCCATATCCCACAGCGCGGCGTCACGTAGCCGCATCCTCTTTAAACAGCTATCTCCTTCATAATTGGTGTGAATCACATACGGAAGAGGGAGTTTTAAAATCGTTCTACCACTGCGACTATGAACTAATTTCCCGCCGTCATTGACTTCGTCGTTGTTGTTGTTGTTGTTGTTGTTGTTGTTGTTGTCGCTGTTGCTGCTGCTGCTGCTGCTGCTGCCATCGCCGCTGGCACGTTGGTCAAAATCACGACCAGGTACCGAACCACCGGCTGCAGGAGGGGGCATGTCGCTTACGCGACCGTCCCGACGAGAGAGTGGAGGACGGGGGCGAGACTGGAGGGGATCCGTACCTCTACTTGTGCTGGTCGTAATTCCAGCAGCGTCAAGACCAGCTGCCGCGGCACCTCCTCTTCCTCCTCCTCCTCCTCTTCCCTCTCCTCCTCCTCCGCCGCCGTCGTTGCCACCTCCAGCTGGCGCCATGGTTCTTGGTTCGGAATCTGGTCCTACTATGGGCCTTGCTTCGGCGCCCGGAAATGGACCAGATACAGGTACGGGAACAGAAACAGGGAAAGGAACGGGAAATGGACCAGATACAGGTACGGGAACAGAAACAGGGAGAGGAACGGGAAAAGGAACAGGAACAGGAAGCTGGTTGTAGAAGAAGGTTAGACCGTTGACAAAGAGTGCTTGTGGCAAGGCGCCAACGACGAGAGAGCCATCGTACAGTCGATAGTATACGGATCCCGACTCGGAGATGAATCGAGAGGAATCGGACGGTAGAGTCCGCTTGATGAGATCGTTTAGCAGCTGTTGATCCCAAGACTGTGCCACGTCATCTTGTTCTGTTCTGGATAGGGTTCGGACCCAATCACGTATCAATCTGAGGCATGATCGTCGGCTTCTGAAGAACATAAGGCCGACATTGAAGTGATACAACTTGGCGTCGCATGCAGGCCAAGGTCCCGGCTCGACTGAATCTAGTCGACCTTCTGGGGGAAAAACACGGGAATCGGATTCCTCGAAATTGCCGACGACGGAATGGTTAATACTAAGAAAGCGGAAAGAGGAAGACTCGTGTCGCTCAACTAAAGGACAGTCCGTTGAGGAGAGGAGATCAGCCTCGGGGTGGGAGACTAGATAAGGGAGGGGGTTTTGAAGAAATACCTCATCGGCATCGCTGATCAGGACATCGAACCCAGCGTCCAACACGTCGAGAATTAGAGAGGGTTTAACAACCTGGAGTTTTCTGAACGCTGCAGTACCCCAGTTAGCACGATGGGGGGGGAAGAAACCCATTCTGGAGACGGCGACAGGAATGCCGCACTGAAAAAGACTCCAGAGAACCTCTTCATCCAGTGCGGCGATCAGGTAATTGCCCATTCCCACTCGATTCGCCGAGATGGCCCAATTAAAGAGGAATTCCCGCCAAGCGAAATTGCCAAAGGTCAAAACGATTGGTCCATTTCCCGCCAATTTCTCGAGCCGCCGCTTCGTGATGAAGAAGCTTTCGACAGCTGCTGGACGTTCAATGCCCTCCTGCTCCTCAGGCCCCGGATGCTTTTGCTGCACCTGGCCCTTCCCATCCTTCCTGCTTTGGGCGACATTAATACGTCTACCACCTCCTCCTCCTCCTCCTCCTCCTGCTGCTGCTGCTGCTGGTCCTTCTCCTTCTGCTGCAACTCGTCCTCCTCCATGGAACTGGGAATGAAACTTCCTGGAAAATACCGATGAGTCAGAATTTTTAGATGATGGTTGTTGTTGGTTATCGTCCACGTGGCCAGGGTGTCGAGATACATGATCGGTTTTGACATCGCCATGCTTCGGACTAGTCGTTGCCGAAGAAGAAGAAGAAGACGACCAAGAAGAAGAAGAAGAAGACGACCAAGAAGAAGAAGAAGAAGAAGAAGAAGAAGGTAGACCAGAGAGGGTATCCCACTTGATGCGGGAGTCGGGATCGGGATGGTGAAGCCGGTAAGCGAGCCAATCTAGACAGTGATAGCTTAAGGAAGAAAGGGATGGGGAAGGCAGAGGCGGTGACGTCTCGATAGTAGAAGTACTGAACGACAAGTAAGCTACAAGGGAGGATACTGAGAAGAGAACAGAGACAAGGACAAAGAATGATTTGCCTTCTAACAACGCGCTTGGCCGCGGAGTGAACGTTCGAAGAGGTAATCGAGGCCGCATTCTGAGGGGCCATAGTGTGCGCTGATGACTCCGGAGCGAGGCTGGATGATGATGATGATGATGATGATGATGATCGTGATCATGATGACCATGATGATCATGAGAATGAGAATGAGGAGTAACGTTCTGAATCTTCTGATTACCAACTCTGTGGGGGCTTCGGCTCTGGTTCGAACAAAAGAGATGGGGGGGAGAAGGAGAAGAACAATGAACCTGATGGCCGGGATGGTCCACTCGCTCTGCTAGCCTAGAGTCATGTTCTTCACTAGCAGACAGCTGTCCATGCACGGTATGGCTCCCAATGCTACCCACGTCGCCCGAACTACTCGTCCCCATACTTTATTACTTCTCTCTCTCTCTCTCTCTCTCTCTCTCTCTCTCTCTCTCTCTCTCTCTCTCTCTCTCTCTCTCTCTCTCCCCCTCTC